AAAGGTCAACTCTGCAGCAGTCAAACAAGTCACTCGAAGAATGGAGTCGAAGACTTAGTGTGTCTTAACGTAAAGCTTAGGTAAAACCACTTTACCTTTTCCATCGCACAAAGCTTCTTCATTCATTTTGCAAAATGCCTCAAAAACAGCTTTTAACAAATCAAAAACAAAAGCATTTTGGCAAAGAATTTTCTTAAACAAGTTATTAACTCGATAAAGGTTTGAAAGAATCAATTTAAAACACTTAGAATGTTTTAAAAAGTGTTTTTACAATATTTTAATCGATACAAACTTCTTTTAATCGATTAAAACTCTTTATGACCGATTAGAATTCGAATGTAATAGGTCGGAATGCAATATAATCGATCAGATCTTAAATATGAGCGATTAGAATTATTTTAATCGATTAAAACACGTTTCAATCGATTAAAATCACTTTGGATGTCAGTATGATCGATCGAATGAGATTATGACCGATCGTAGTTGGTTATGATCGATCGAATTGAATTATGACCGATCAGACTTATTTCAATCGATTAAAACGCATTTCAATCGATTAAAATAACTTAGAAAAACTTTTCAATCGATTAAAACGAACTTTCAATCGATTAAAATGACTTGAAAATATATGTGCAGTTTTTCAATCGATTGAAACGACTTTATATCGCCTAAAATAACTTAGAAAGTTTTATAAGAAGGTTTTTAAACATATCAATCGATTAATACGCGATTCAATCGATTGTTTTATACTTAGAAAATGTTTGTAAAACGTTTTAACTGATAAAAACGTGGTCGTATCAACTAAAACATTTTCTGTTAAAGATCAAGAATGCATTAATGGGTTGAAAGGACTTTTAACAGATTATAACGGCTATTTCAACAGATTAAAACAAACTTTCAACAGATTAATTAATGCAGCAGATTTGAAAATTCTCTTTAAAAACAGTTTTGCTTGAAACTTTGAAACAAGAGATTGAATATTAGTTTTTAACACAATTCAAGCAATCAATACAAACAACTATTAGCATTTTTCAAGAAAGATACACAACTGTTTTTGTGAACTTCTTTTGAAATCTTTCTTGAGGCACTTTGCATCCTTGAAGAAGAAACTTACTGTGGATTGGTGTAATCCGGTTTGAGCTTTCTAAGTCTCTTCTTTGTAAATTCATTTTCATTACTTTGTATTGTGTTTGTGCCTGGAATTTGGGCACAAGTTTTTTCTGCAGCTGTTGTAGAAAGTTGCCAAGAACTGGAATTTGGTTCTTGGTGGAAAGGTTAAAGCAAGAGCTGGAATTTGGTTCTTGTGTGTGGTGCCTGGAATTTGGGCACTGGTTTCTCTGCGGCTGGAATTTGGTTGCAGAGGTTTCCAAGAGCTGGAATTTGGTTCTTGGTGGAGAGTTAGAATAGGTGTAAGAGGGTGAGTCTCGTAAAACATCTATTCTAGTGGAACCCAACTGGAATTTGGCTGGAGTCCGGACGTAGCCCTGGTATTGGGTGAACCAAGTATAAAATTACCGGTGAAATCTTTCCTAACCTTTCTCTCTTTAATTTCTGCTGCTGCACTTAAACTGTTTGATTGCTTTGTGATTTGTGAATTGATAAGTAATCTTAATTTTCGGATTAGATAATCTGTTTATTGCGAAAAACTTTCAAAAATCAATTCACCCCCCTCTTGATTTAAAACTACTTTTCTAACACAATCAATCTCACTAAGAATCCAGTAATGCACTCTAGGATTAAGCATATAGAGATTAGACATCATTTTTTGAGAGATCATATCAGCAAAGGAAACTGTAAAATAGAGTACGTTGATACAAAGCATCAATTAGCAGATATTTTTACTAAGCCTCTACCCAAGGATAGATTCTATGATCTTAGAAGAGACTTAGGGATATTAGAAATAGGTTAAATTCTGCTTATTTAGACAGTTTTTGGATGGTTATAATGTTATAATTCATTATGTAGGATGTTCATAGATTATCATGTGCATAAACCTCAAATATTTGATGAACTCTCTGGAATAATCGATGAATTGGAGTTATAATTGATTATTTGCATCCAAAACACCCAAAACATGACATTCCTCTTTGGATTAATCGATTAATTCGCCTATTAATCGATTAAAATCAGTATTAATCGATTAACAGCTAAAATTAATCGATTAAATGGGTCTGACACTGGTTTAATCGATTAATTTGAGTTTTAATCGATTAAACCTGGCAAGTTTGGATTCCTAGCCGTTGCCAACGGCTCTTTTGACCCTTATTCACTTTCATATGACCGTTGGAGATGCTTGGCTATAAATAGGGACCTCCATTTCACTTCTACTCACTTCTATCTCTTGAAATCAAGCTTTCTTGCCTCATTCTATCAATCTTGCCTTCTTCTCACTTAACGTGTCCTCTTAAATCTTCTTGTTACTCTTATAATCCTTCAATGGCCTCATCTTCTCGTGCAAAAATCCCAACTAGAAGAAGATCTACACCCTCATCTCATCCCCGTCCTAATTCTGTAGAAGGATGGATCTCTGATGCAGATGGCCGAAAGAAATTTCTGTCCTATTGGAAGGAACGTGCTATTATTTCTCCTAAGTTCCTTATTGGTGAGTAGTTCATCAATAGGGGATTCAACTTTCCTAATCTCCTTGAAATTCAAGGAGTTCTCCCTTTCATCCAAATGCAAGGTACGTATTATCCTGACTTAGTTAGGGTATTTTACTCTAGGTTCAAATTTACAGATCAAATTGCTACCTCTCGAGTAAAGGAGGTCACAATTATTCTTGATGATGATATATGGGAAAACGTTGCCCACTTTCCTATTAGAGAAGATGCTATTAACGTGTATGGTGAGTTAGATGATTTTGACAGGATCATGGCCTACCGCTCTTTTCTGCGAAACCCTTCCATGGAAATTGGGCGTCTCCTTCTAGCTGGACCTTTGAAGAAGGAGGAACGCATGATGTTACATCTACTTGTCTGGATCCTATGTCCCCGGGCTACGAATCATGCTCAATGTTCTTCAATTGATCTTCGTATTATTCATGCCATAATGAATAATGAGCCTTTAGATTAGGGCATTCTTGTCACCATGACTATGTTAAAATCCAAACACCATCCCACCTTCAAAATTCCATATGCCCTCCTTGTCTCTCGCATTCTTGAATACAAAGGAGTAAATGTCGAAGGTGAACAAACAGTTCGAACGAATAACTTAAATCGCATGCTAGACAACACATTAATCCAATTCCAAATGGTGCGTGTCAACGATATTTATGTTCACAAGGATGACGTTCCAAACGAAGGTGACGATAATGAAGATTCTGATGAAGATATGCCTCCTGCTGCTGAGTTTCCCTCTGATCAAATCCAAAGTGTTGGAACTTCCTCTGCTCATCATGAAACCCGATAATCTATGGAAGACATGTTATCTGATATGAATCAGAGGATGTAGGCATTCTTCACTCTTTCTAGAGTACGGCATGAGGAAATAATTCATCGTATATCTGATGTAGATGATAAAGTGTGTCATTTAGAAAATATATTTGATGCACACTTTCATAGTGATGATAGTGAAGAATTTTAAATTTGCTTTTTATTTGTAATGTACTTTCATTTCTGAAATAAAATGTGGTGTTCTTTTATTGCTTTGATTGAGGGGGAGTTATCTCCAAAGTTATGCATATTTTGAGGGGGAGCTCTTATGATTGTTATTGAAAAATTTGTTTTGATTATAATCAAAATAGGGGGAGAAATATTTAAGGCCTACTATGATTGATTTTAAATATTATCTGGTATGTTTAAAGTGTTTGTTAGTATGACAGAAAAACAGGTTATTACAAGGCTTTAAAAGAAAATTTTGATCATCATCAAAAAGGGGGAGATTGTTGAACATTCAAGGACTTGATGTTGAACGTACATAGACATGAAGCTTCTTGATTTTGATGATGATTCAAGAACACAAGACTTAGAGAGTTGAAGACTTGTTTTACTGTGTAATAACTCTATTTTGGTTAGATTGAGTCTGTAATATTAGAGTTTGAGATAGCCGGTACATAGTCTGCACCTTAGAAGCTTCAAAAAGCTCAATTTTATCAAAGTGTCTCGGCTTTAATCGATTAAATGGTGAAATAATCGATTAAAACAGTGAGAAAAACCATTTTCTGTATCTGCTCACTGGTTTAATCGATTAACACACCTGTTAATCGATTAACAGGCCTGTTAATCGATTAACATGTCTTTTAATCGATTAAAACAGAGAGTTTTGGGGTTCTATTGATTTTGGCTCTATAATAATCAATTAACACTGCATTTAATCGATTATTTCAGTCAGATTTTGATTTTCAACTTCAAATCAACCCTATTTTCGAAAACCCTAATCCCAAGACTCCTAGTTCCGAAATTCCCAATTCCCAAACCCTAATTTCTCTACTTAAACTTCTCTATGGCACTCAGAAATGAAGAACAACCTTTTTCATACAAAAGTTAAGTGCTGTGAGTGCCAGAGAACTGTTTGTTGCAAGAAAAAGGGGCTTTTGGAACCTGGTGTGGGCTAGAAGCGATAAGAATCACTAAGTGGAGTTCTTAATGGATTGTGTGTTGTACCGTCTCTGGGGAAAGCTGTTCTTCATCTCTTGTGGATTTCAAGAGAGGTGTTTTCTTTACATTATCTTTTCCATTGTAATCTGTTTGTAACAACTTTGATTATAGTGACAACGTTAATCCTCTATTTGAGTGATTAGCAACTGGATGTAGGGTCTTTTGATCCGAACCAGTATAAATCTCCTGTGTAAGATTCTATCTCTACTCTATTTACGTTTACATAGTATTTTAATCGGTAAAATTTGGGGAAAATTTTTAAAACCTAATTTTTGTTAAGAAACCAATTCACCCCCTCTTGGTTTTTGTCCGTCCACGTGAACATTCCGCTGCGCGATTCTAACAATTATGACATCCTATAAATCTCCAAGTAAAGTATTGATCAGTATGCATGCTATCTTGGAGGAGATTGAGAAAGATCCCTTTAGAATCTTGGACCTCATGACTACTCACGTGGAATCATTCAAATCAACAACTAATACTTCTTCTACATCCCCACTTCAAGTTGATGCACTTAATTTAGTAAATGAATTCTGGAAGTTCATTTACTCTGCTTCACTATGGGAACCATCGAGATCCCTAATAAGAAGAGAGAACTTCAAGAGATCTTGTACAAGATCCAAGTTATCCCATCCAATCACTTTCCACCAAATTTTAAAGATGAAGTCATGATGGTGATAAAACTATTCAACGAGATTTGATCTTTAAGGATGTAATGACATTGGACACACAAAAGGTTGAAATTGAAGCTGCTCGAGTCAACAAAGTTGAGGTATTAAGTCAAAATAAATCCTAGTTTGAGGCTATCAAACTTGAGAAATTTACAATTGCCACTTCCTTAAGTGAAGAAAAGGCCAAGTGTGCAAGCCTCAAACAACAAATACATAACCTGTAAGAGCAGTTTCAAGTCTCCAAGGTCAACCATCATGACATTTACATAGACTAGTAACACTCTTGAGGAGGAATCTTCAAGTTTAATGTCTTTTTCTAGGAGTGTTTTATATATAATAAAGTAAGGTGCATGTAGATCCCAAATCTTTCCCGGCCTCACAACAAAATTCAGAAATCCTCCGTTTTGAAGATGGACAAGGCTTCATCGGACCCCTAGTAGTGTTTACTATGCTCCATGTAAACAAGGGAGAGTTTTCTTAGAAAAAATAAAGAATAAAAAAATAAAAAATTTGTCAGAAAATCCAGGATGGTCGTCCCACTTGATTCTGAGACGCCCGTCCCGACCTCCTTGGTAGTCTGGGATGCCCGTCCCAAAATCCAGATGACCGTCCCAAAATCCAGACGGCCGTCCCGAGGCACTTTTTCTATCGAGACGGTCGTCCCACCTAACAAAATTCAGGATGGTCGTCCCGACCTCTTTGATGAGCGTGCCTATAAATAGGACATCATACCTCACTATTTCACACACCTCTACACACTTCTAGACACCTGGAGAGACCTCTAGACACCCCTAGACCTCTCCTCACCCCTGGGCATTGTTCCAGACTTCGAGTGATCTTTTCGATTGTCCGTTTAGGAAAAAAAATCGGTTAAGGAAGTCTCCTTTGAGACATCCGACTCTCGGTAGTTTAAAAATTTTTTTATTCGAGGGAGGAGTACTCGTGTAGTGCGAGGGCATTGCCAAAAAACATCCTCAAGTTTAAAGGTTTATAAAAGCTTGCTTCAGAGGTTCTTCTCAAACCCTTAATCTTTTATTGCTTTTCTTTGTGTGCATTAGAAAATAAGGCCATGTAAACATTTAGATAAATATTGCAAATAAATAAATGAAAAGGGTAAAAGCATAATTTCTAAAAAAAATATTTTATGAATTAATCCATTATAGGGAACCCAAAAGGGGCGCTGTGGGGTGCTAACACCTTCCCCATGCGTAACTAACTCCTTTACTCGACTTTGGTTATAATGACCAAAGTTAGTTTTTTTCACCAATGCCTGTTTTATCCTTTTTCAATGTTTATGGTTAAAACATTGGTGGCGACTCCATAGAACCCATTTTGGCAAAAACCTCACTTTTAAGGTTAGTTAGACTATCGAGCATCCTAAAAGTGATGACCAAACTATTTTACGAAAACGCGATATTCAGTAATCGCATTGCGACCACATCGCCGCACGGGGGACAGCGACGACAGATGGTGACTCCACTGGGGAAGCTTAGAGAGTTGATCCCATTTAGTGGTGGATTAATTCAAAAGAAAATAAAAGATTTAAAATAATGCTTTTACCTTTCTTTGTATGTATAACATGTTTTTTTTTTATGGCTTTCATAACTGTTGTATGGTTATTTTTCACACTTGTTTGAAATAAACTGTACACAACCATTGCTCAAAATAGTCCGTCAATACCCGGGGGCACGAGTGATAAATCTTAAGGAGTGGGTGGCATGTACGACCGACCGTGGTAATGGCCCTAGTGCCAGCAGGTCGTTATCGGAAACCACCAGTCAAGGTGATAACCCTCCTCTCTCAGTCTGCAAGACATCAACACGTCCTTTGAGCCACACAAGGTTTGAGGGCTGAGAAACGCGGGGACTGTCGCTGCAGTTAAAAGAGGAGTTCGGAGCGACACGATGGTTCCCACTTCTGTTTTCGCATTTTAGATAGGTGACGTTACAACGCCTCTAGGTTGTCTGATAACCGGGTTGAACCTAAGAGCGAGGTTTTCGAAAGGGAGCTTTTAGGTTGTCCGATAACCGGGCTGGACCTAAAAGCAAGATTTTTGAAGAGGGGTTCTTATGGAGTCGCCACCGATGTATTTACCTAAAACATCAAAAAAGGAACAAAAAAAAAGAAGGTGTTGGTTTTTAAGAAAAACCAACTTTGGCCATTATAACCAGAGTTGGGTAAGGGTGTTAGTTACGTGTAGGGAAGGTATTAGCTTCCCTACGATGCCCCTTTCGGGTTCCCTATGATAGGCCAGTTATTTCATAAACAAACTTTAAAATGACGCTTTTACCCTTTTATTTGTGGAATTAAAAGATAGTGACTACATGGCCCTAATAGCTAATACACAAATAAATATAAGTAAAAAAATGGTAAAAGAGAGGGAGAAAGTGAATAAACCTCCGGAGCAAGCTTTGATTAATTCTTCTTAAAAATAGGACGCGTTTTAGCAGTCCTTCACTCTACAACGTCGACTTTTCTCTCTTACAATGCTATAAAAAAAACTCTCTAAGAACACTCAGAAAACTCTGGAAATGCTTCGGAGGGGCTCTAGGAGAAGAATTTTAAGAAATGCTAGAAGGAAAGGTGGAAGAACTGTTTGAAATGAATGGGAGAGCGCCCTCTTTTATAGGGATTCGCGCCTGTCAGGTCGAGACCGCCGTCTCGCCTGGCAAGGTCGAGACCGCCGTTTCGCCAATTGGGACGGCTATCTCGCCTTTGGCGGGACGGCGGTATCGATTTGACAAATGGCGAGAAGGTCGTCTTGCCAAACGGGAAGGCGGTCTTGCCATGGCAAGTGGCAAGACGATCGTCTCGCCAAACAAGATGGCGGTCTTGACTTTGCCGATGGCGAGACGGCGGTCTTGACCCTTCAGGTGGAATTCCTTATTTTTTCCATACAAAAAGCTTTCCTACTCTAATATGGGGCCTAATAGTCTATTCTAAGGACCTTTTAGGACTCACCCATCTTCGAATTGGAGGTCTTCTGCTCTTTATTTTGAGGTTGGGCAAGATTTGGGGTCTACAGCTGCCCACCCTTCACCTGACTAGCCGACTGTTGGCCTGTTATGCCAAAAAGATCAGCTGGAGGGTGAAGTGTTGAACATACAAGGATATGAATGTTGAACATACAAGGATATGAAGCTTGTAGATTTTGATGATGATTCAAGAATAAAGGACTTAAAGATTTGAAGACTTGTAATGTTATGTAATAACTCTGTTTTTATGTTTTTGAGTCTGTAATATTAGAGTCCAAGATAGCCAGCACATAGACCACTCTTTAAAAGCTCTAAAAACTCATTTTCAAAAATACCATTTTCAGTATTTGGTCTCTGGAATGATCGATTAAATGGCCTGTTAATCGATTAACTGGTGCTGTTTTTGCTCCTCTGCGAGAATGGCTCTGGAATAATCGATTAACACTTAAGATAATCGATTATTTGGGTCTGTTATGTATTGGACCAAGTTTCTAAAACCCTATTCCCAATTCATCCAATTTCGAAAATCCCCAATTCCCAAACCCTAATCTCTCTACTTAAGGTTCTCTAAGGCTCTCTGCAATTTGAACAACATTTTTCATACAAAAGTTAAGAGTTGTGACTGTTAGAGAACTGTTTGTAGGGAAGAAAAAGGGGTTTTTGAAACCTAGTGTGGGCTAGAAGCGATAAGAATCACTGAGTGGGTTTCTTGGTGGATTGTGTGTTGTGCCGTCTCTAGGGAAAATTATTCTTCATCCTTTGTGGATTCAAAGGAGGTGTTCATCTCTTGTGTGACTCAAGAGAGGTGTTTTCTTTACCTTATCTTTTCATTTGTAATCTGTTTGTAAAATTGTGATTATAGTGACAGCATTAATCCTTTGTTTGAGTGATTAGCAACTAATAGGTTCTTTTGATCCGAACCAGTATAATTCGACTGTGTAATCTTCTATCCCTTCTCTATTTACTTTACACAACATTTTTGTTTAAGAAACCAAAATTTTTATTTAAGAAACCAATTCACCCCCCCTCTTGGTTCTTGTCCGTAAACGCAAACATTCTGCTGCGCGATTCTAACATGAAGGAGTTAACCATCTTGCCCTACTGTTCTTCGGATGCTCTATCTTGCGGTGGCCGACCCTCTGGACAAAAAAATGTTGTGCGCCTCCAAGATGCTGCTTCATGTGGTAGCCGACCCCTTTGGTTGACACGTGGTAGAACCTTAGGATGCTCCTTCTTGCGGTAGTCGACCCTTCGGTTGATGAGTTTGAACCCCCATCCGGTTGGTTGTAGCTTCGGGATGCTCCTTCTTGCGGTAGCCGACCCCTTAGCTGACAAGTGGTAGAACCTCAGGATGCTCCTTCTTGCGGTAGCGACCCTTCGGTTGATGAGTATAAACCACTCATCTGGTTGGTAGTGTTTGTAGTCCATCATTTGTAGGACCGGATGAGTATAAACCCCTCATCAGGCTGGTATGGTCCACAGCGTAGGACCGGTTGCAACTTACTGCTCTGGCTCGTGTGCAGGTCATGCGCAAATCATGCGCAAGTTGATGGGTATGAACCCCCCATCTGACTGGTGCAGTCCACTTCATAGGACTGGTGGTGGTGGTGGCTTACTGCTTTAGCTAATGCGCCGTTTGATGTGAGAGATGCCTTTCTCTTTGGTAAAGTCATCTGGTGGGCCAAGGATGCATTTCGGCTATTCTGGTGGTCATCCAACTCGTTGATTGTCGGGGAGTCTTTGTCTTGCTCTTTTGATATTTGTCATTTGACTTTGCTGGTCGTCGGGAATTTTTGGTCAATGTGGTTGTCTTGCCAGTCTACCTTGGCTAACGTTGTAGCTTTAATCCTGCCTTTTTCTGCGATTTATCTTTTTTCACGTGACTTTGGATTTTGGCTTTTTTGGGACTAATCGTAAGTCTTTTTATTTTTTAGTCTCTTTTGTTGCGCTGACTTTTTCGGAAAGAGAGTAAAGGTAAACAAATTTACTAAAAGATTTTATTCATATTATGATAAAATTTAGTACAATAGTTATTTCGATAATGCCCCTAAGACGGCAGTGGACTCGAGCTGGGAGACGATCCGAGAGGGGGGAACTGGCGATACATATGCCTTTGAAATTCCTCCTGGCTCCGGATTGAGCTGAGCTGGTCTTGCCAGATCAATGCCAGGTCTTGTCTCATCCCCTCCTGCATTTGGCCGAAGGTCTCCAACCGTGTCTCGAAGACATCTTGTCTTAGGGACATCTCGTCCAACTACTGGCACATGTCATAGATGTTGCGGTTGATGCCAGCGAAGTCATCCCCGTACTGTTATTGCTGCTGTTACTGAAATTTTGGGGGCGTCAGAATGTCCTGCATCGCCACCAAGTCTTGGAGGTCTAGGGTCATGGTGAGCGTAGGGTGAAGGGCCATCTGGGTCCCCTGCCGGATGAGCATCCCCATGCTAACAAGCATGGACCCG